TTGGATCTGTATAATCTAATTCCTATCTGGCTTTCTAGAGCCCTTTCACAGATGTGAAAACAAGGCCCAAAGAACAACCACTGGTTGGCATATTGGAACTCGAAAAAGGGAAATGACTTTAGCTGGAGAAGTTTGCTTGATTTCCAGAAGTTAATTTTGAGTTGAAACTGTATTATTGCTAAGCATAAAAACTCGTGGGCCTTCAACATAACCAAAATGTTAAATAAAGTCCTAAAGCAAAAATCTAAATGGAAAAAAAAAACAACAAACCAACAAACAAACAGAAAAAACAAACCCAAGCCATTTGTCTGGCAATATTCACCTTGTTGTAAATGACATAAAACTAAAAAGACATTTCCCTATAAAACATGGTCTGTTTTCACACTCCTGAGAAATATGGAAATACTTCAAGTTATTTGGAAAAACAATAATGTAGGAAGATGCTCTTGTGCAGCTCCTTTGGGCTACATCAAGTGAGTATTACACAGAAACTTAAACATGCTGTGGCCAAATAGGATATTAAAGTCACAGCATCAACTGCATACCCAAATAAGTCTAACCATATATGAACCTATGTATCATGTTTTCCATCTCTTATTTAAGTATTTATTTGGGGTAAGTATTTTCTAGGGCCCACGGATACACTGCAGTTGAACAAGATTTCCAGGTACTTCAAACATTTGAGACACACACTGTGTAAACCGGCAATGGGTAGGCATTAGAATGAGTTTGAATATTAATATTTTGTTTAATAAGTATTTGAAATGTCTAGGAAAAGTTTTCATGACTTCAAATCCTGACCACAAATATCTTTCTTTCTTTTGTCATTAAGATACTAATAAAAAGTCCTGCTTTTGAAGAAGAGAAGGTGGAAGAAAACTAAAGACAATGAAGCTGAACTCAAACATCTGCAACATCTAGAAAAGCAGAGAAAACCACAGAAAGAACATGTTAATCTGAAGCACTTTCCCTGTCAATGTGTACATTAACATTTCACTTCTAAAAGCTGAATTAAAGAGGTTACATGATTGATAAAAGAGCTTCAGAAGTTATTTTTAAAGCTAGCACACTAAAAACAGCGCAAGGGACTACTTTTGCACAATTCACTGTTTTATAAAGGTTTAACCAAATACTTTAGCTCTCCAGTAATTTTCTGAACAAAGTAAAGCGGTCCTCCCTGGACCCCAATAACTGGGTGAAGTGTTTATATGTTTTCTATTAAGCAAATGATTCAGGTGCAGCAGCAACTAGGTAACAGAGGCAACAGTTTGGCCACAGAATGCAGCTAGCTGACTACCTGCCATATATAAGCATATAGATATATACACACATATAACTGACAGAACTGTCCAGATATGCCCAATCTGGTGGATAAATTCCTTAGGAAAACTATTTAATTTGGATAAATTTTTGGTGAAGACAAAATTCAAACACGTCAATAAAGGCAACTAAACTTGAATAAACACAGGCTTACATAATGCGGCGTGTTTTTCCACAGCTACTAGCATAATACGCCCTTAATATGTTCACTCGCTTTCACAAAGGACAAAATAAATCCCCATCAATAAAGGATTAAAAATGGCGCAGGTCAATTCCTGTTAACTTTAGCAAATATCAATCAGCACTTGGCCAAAAATAATAAAAAAAAGTCTTTCCAATAAACTGCGCCTGCTTCCGTTTCAGTTTTAAAGCCCTTCTGCCGACTCCGTCCTGGAATATGGTACTAAGACCCTGTCTAAAATAGAAGTTGGATCAAAATTTATCTCCCTTCTTTTTACAACTTCAAGGAAGAAACTATAATGGATGCATACCTTATTCATGTTCATTAACTTATTAAAAAAGCAAGGCTTATATCTTATGATTTATATAATGCGACTGCATTGGTCTCTCAAGCGATTTTTCTTATACAAATGTACGCTAAAACAGACTTTGAATAGAATCAATGAAAGACAATGTAAAAAAAATCAAGAAATCTTTGGTTTTTTAAATTTACAACATTGAGTTAGCATTACTAAACTAAAAAAGAATATATTTTAATAAAATTATGTGAAAGTATCCTTTCACATACTTCAAGGAGTACAGATACTTGAAGGAGTATGTAAGGAGACAACTATTGAGGTAAGTGGCTCTGCTTACATTTTATGGACCACTATGTAATTAAAATACCAGCCAAACAAAACACATAATCCAAGTCTAAATGCCAGACCCATCCTCATCCTCCCTCAAGTACTTGGAATTTCAGTCATCAATTTTAATTGGAGTGGGATTTTACCCACAGGAAATCAGTATTTTCAAATCCACATATTTTAAAGGACATTTTTCACAACTAAATGGATATTAGTTGATTTGTATGCAATTTAAGTCTGCCTATCCAACTATACCCAATATGTCACAAATATATTTAAATTAGCGTCTCACGTGTGTTGGCCATATTGTGCCATCAGGGAAGTTTTTACATTTTATCAGGAATCTCTATTTAAGAACTCAGGATACAGTGCACTCATTTTACCACATTTTGCATCCATTTTAGTTGAAGTGCATCCTCAACTAAAATACATTCATTTTTAAGAGAAAGATTACTAATATCATCCAGAAAATGAAAGGTCTGTAATGCAATAAAGACCATATGTCTTTAATGTCTTTATCATATTGTTTAAAATCCTAAAATTAGCTTTTTTTTCTTTCCAAAACGGCGTAACGTTTGTCATGTTTTCAAATATGCTGAAGTTTATCCAGGGACAATACCTAAGTACTGCCTAAATCAGCAGATTCTCCTTTTAAACTACTTTAAAAGCACAGAATAGCAAGTCCTGAATATATATTATTAAACACTGTACTGGGTTTTCCTGGCTTAGATGGCCTTATTCTATTTACCAGGTATTAATCAGGGAACCAGTAATGCTTAGAAAAGGATGCCTAACTGCTTACACATATTTATTTTTATACGTGTACTTATTTAAAAATACTAAATGGGTCAGAAAGTATTTCAGCTGGGAACATAATTTTACTTTAAGTTACCATTGGATAAATTGGATAAATTGGAGCATGATCAAGCCCTGAAGCGCATTTTTTTCCATCTCTTTCTCACACATCTTCCTCGAAAGAAGCATCATGTTAGACCAACAAAAATAACACAAATATGTAGGCAAACTACAGATTTTATAAACACTAAGCCTACAAACTGGGCAGAGAAGAAAGCAGAAGGAAATAGGTGAAAATGACAGATAAATTATACTTGCTTCTAAAGCAGCAGTAGATTTTTATGTTCTTTTTTTAAGCTTGTAACGTTTCTTGTTTTAAGACTAATATTTGAAAGCATTTCAAATAACATGATAGTATTATTCAGAAATCTTACTAATTTCAAAAAACAGTTACTCAAAATTGATTTTGCATCCAGACCTAAAATATTACTTGCTTCAGAGCCTACAAGATATCTCCCCATCAGAGAGGAAAAGGTTTTTCCTTTTAGAAATATCAAAAAGTCCAATGTGCGTAGATATGGTCAACTTCTGTGAAGAGTAAGCTTTGTAAAAAGAATAAGAAATATTAATAGCTCCAGCCCTACTGAAAATCTACTTTAATTTTCTTTCATCCCAGCACTCAAAAAACCAGATGCTCTACACAGAATTACAAAGGATATATGTCAGTATTTATTTTATCCAAGCAAATAAGGGTTAAAATTTAAGAGAAAAAACAGGAAAAAGGCATCAAATGTCTCAGATTTCAAAAACACATATAGGCCAAATTTTTCACGACCAGCTCAACACCCATTTCTAAAAGGAGTTTCTCATTTTTTACTAACCTGCATATACCACTTGAACAATTATGCAGCATGTGGGCGTACCTTACAGCCGTTTTCTTAACATCTGCATTCTGTGTTAAATTCTAACTGTACAAGATGTCTGATATTTTTTCTTTATCTTGAACCTTCAAAGTGGTAGGTTTACCAGAGGCAAAACCACACACCAGAGAATATGAGTCATATAATAAAGAAACATCTCTTCCCTTTCTCCCCCTTCCACCCTGAAGCGATAACAACCTAAAGACACTCTATTGTAAATGGCTTCTTTGGTAATATTGATAACAGGAGCAACTCATAATCACTTAGCCAATGAATGAAGGTTTTTTTTTTTTAGTCCTTATTGTATCCATAACATATTGGCCTTTGTATCATTTTAAGCCAATTAAAAAATTACATTACAACAGAAATTGAATTCTTGCTAAGAATCAGAATGTCTACAAGTTTCCTTTCATGTTAAGCATGAAAAACAAAACATACTACACGTTTCCATAAATGATAGCACTAGAATGTCAAAATAATCCAATGTAGGACACCTACGCAATGTCATCCAAATACCAACTCTAAGCTGACCACAGAAGGCAACCTCAAAACAGAAATCATTAGTTTTCTAATGATTCTGTACCAAAAGATGGCAACATTCACATTCGACAAAATACTGCTCATGCCAACTGCACAAGAGAAGCACAACGAAGACCCAAGGCCACCTTACGGGCCCATGGGCTACCCCAGTTTCCCCTGTGAAAAGCACCAAGTGCTGCTGGAGTCACTCAACCTGTTCACTTCCTTTAATGCCCCTGTATATAGGGAGCCTGTAACTCCTTCCACTGACATCCTGCATCTAATTACATGTAGGAAAAACAGCCTTCAAACAAAGCCTTATCTGAAGTGTCAACATGTAGAATCACATCAGAATTTTTTAGGAGATGGACTAAATAATAGAAGAAAACCAACATTTAACATCAGCATCAGCAAATACATTAGTGAAACATAAGCATCAGCAAATAAATTATTCACAACAAAACTCAGCAACACTAAAACAGGTGCAACCACTGTCTTGTAAGAAAGTTAACCTTGTGGCAAAGCTCTTCTCAAGAGTATCTTCCAAAAAGCAGGAAAAGAAAAAAATCATTTCACTGATGAGAGCGAGAGCTCCACGTCCCCTCCCAGAACAGAGGAACGCGCTGGTTTCTATTCTTACCTGTGTATAGTCGAAGTCAGAGAGAGGAGCTATACTCTTGATGTAGTCCATTCGGAATTGGTTTTCTGGATTGGCCAACGGAACTGGGGGTATTAAAGTGCTCATAGCTGAAACTATAGTCTAGAATTGGATAAAAGAAAAACAAGCGCGTTAATCTGGATAAATCTACGATACAGAATCAACAGAAGATAATCCCATCTGATCAGCAAAACGGGATTTTCTCTACACAATCTTAGCACAATCCTTATCGTTTCCTGTACACCCAAGGATTTGAAAACAGTATAAAGAATGCTCTTACCACAATCGCATCTTTAACATTTTTCCGAATATCCAGTATTTTCTGTTTCTTTTCTCTGCATTAAAACAGAAATATTAACACTTTGATTTTTTCCTTCAAAGCAGCGGGATGCTACAGTAGTTCAAAGTCAGCAATATTTTTTTTGTGTGTTTGTTTTTCTGCACTGACTGCTTATTCATCTGCTCTTCAATCACTAAGAAATACTAACAGAAAAGAACATCGAGATAAATACATTTTTCCCTCTATCCTTCCTTTCATGTACTAGGAAGAGCAACACACATTCACCATTAAAATACTGTTAAAAAGCCACATCTGCAAAGCCTTCCCTGAGAGAACTTGAAGCCATTCTCCCATTTCTGCAGCATGCAGTGGGCACGCACAGAACTCGTAATAGATAGCTGAAAGGCAACAGATGTCTAAAATTAACACTATAGATTAATAATAAATTCAGGCAAAGAGTTCTTCAGAGAGAAATGATGCAGCCCCAGGATTTGCGAATGATTTCTAACAAACATTCAAAAATTAGTTTCAGTTTTACCCCAATACCGGAAAAAGAGCAGCCACTGTCATCCTGAATGTGACTTGCCACGTATTTTTGGTCGTATTACAGACAGATGCAATATTTAGTTATTTGCTTCTATGTAAAAAGTAGTCGCCATGTTGTTGCTACAGAGGGGCCTGTCAAGCGCTGCAGCAGCAACAGTGTAAAAATACTGTAAAGGGGCCAGGAGGAGAAAACGCAAATATACAATAGCAGCGATTTCCTTATTCCCTCTGCCCTTCTGCCCTCCCTCCCTCCCCCCAGACGCAGTGTCGAGCCACCGAAATGCAGCGGGGACGAAGAGCAGAGCTTGCCCGGGATGCCGTGCGCTAACCTGTTCCAGGAGGGTAATGAAAAATAAGCCCCAAAGTGACAATAATTCTTACTCTGAATTAAATCCATTGACATGCAGGATTCGCATTTGTTTCACGATAGTGCTTTTTCCTGACTCACCGGCCCCTAAAAGAGAAAGAAGGAAAGGCAGGACATTGTGATATATGGAGCAGGGCTTCCTATTTTCCTTTTTTTTCTTTTTTTTTCCTCCTGTTTCGGACGCGGCGCGACAGCATCTCCCACCTCCGGCAGCATTTCCCTGCGTGTGCATCCATGTGGCCGCCGCGCCGAGCCCAGCCGGGGGACGCTGCCCAGCGGGGCAGCCTGCGTTTTCCGTGCCGCACACGGACACACGGACACACAGACACACACCGCGGCAGAGCCACCTTCTCCACGACACCCGCTGGCCACCCGGGCAGATGCCCCCTCGCCTCCCCGCCGCCCTGGCCCCGCTCCCGCTGCCTTACCCAGCAGGAGCAAGCGATGTGTCGCTTTATAAGCCAGCCTCTCTTTCTGCAACTGCTTCTCTATTTTTTTGTTGGCTTCTCGCTGCGCTTTCTCATCGATACGCTGATCCTCCGTTTTGCTGTTGCCCAAACACCCCATAGCTGCCGCTCAGGGTGGATGTCAAATGGTCGTCTTTGTATATGTGGTATTTACCAGGGGGAAGGGGGGGGTGCGCCTGTATATCCCGGTAGCCCTGCGACGCTTTCTCTTCTCTTCTTCCCCCCCGGTTGCTCAGATAAAAATGGTCTCTAGCCGCCTTCTGATCAAAACGGAGTTTGTTTTTTTGTTTTTTTCCCCCAAAGAGATGCGAGGAGCAGCCGGCGAGGTAACCGTTCCCAGGCAGGGAGGGGGTGGGGGGAAAAAGCTGTACAAAAATGTCTAACATGCAACGGGGAGCGCGAGCGAAGGGCTCCTCCTGGAAACCAGCCGAACGCCGCTCTCCTCTCTCCCTCCCCACTGCACACACACAATCCCTATATTTCTCTGTAAAGGTCTATTTTTGTCTTTCTAACTCAGCACTGCCTCTCTCTGCGAGACCAGGAAACAGTCAAACTAGGGAGCCCGGCAGCGCTGGCGCCCGCAGCACGGAGGAAGGTAAAAGCTGGATCCACCTGGGCCCTAGGGGAGCCTGCGAGGCCGGGCCCGCGCGGCCCACAGCGCACACGGGGTCCAGCTGCCCCCACGAAGGGGGCACTGGCCCCACGGACCGCCCCGGGATCGCGGCCGCTGCAAAAACCTGGAGCTGGCTTTGCCGTGGCGCTTTGGCCCCCAGATCCTGGGGATGTGGGTCGTCCCGGCAGGAAACTGCGCTCATGGTCCTCGGCCTTGGCCCTGAGAGGGGAATTCTCCCCCGCGAGCATCGCCACAGTGGTCACTGCCTGGTGTGCCTTTCCCAGACGGATCGGCGCGCACGGGAAAGCACAGCCGCTACCGGAGCAACACGTGGCATGGGGATGCTGGCACGTTTGGGTCAGAAATCCCAAACTGGCCACCACCAACCCATGATGATGCCCGTGCCTGCTCCGCAGGGAGGAGCGGGAACGTCCTAGTCCTGCCAGGACAGGAGCATCACCCCCAGCCTGCCCAGGTTCCGCCAAGCACACTGCCCACCAGCAGGAATATATCAAAATACACTGACATCCTTCCACATGCACACATACATACGTGCTATACAGCATGCTACATACATGCCATGTGTACAACACACACACATCATGACAATACACATGCATGCACACGTGAGCTTTCTTCACGGATTGTCACAGCAGCACATAGGTAGGGGATTTTCCCTTGCATTTTTCTTTCGAATATTCCAAACAGCATCAGCTGAACAGGAAAATGAAGCCCGGTAGCCTGCAGGATTATTTAATCCAAACACAATAAGGTAGATGATGCTGATAGTCCCCACCCAAACAAATCTTTACAGGCAAGAAGCTGCGCTTCTTGTTTCATTTTTCTACATTTTTAGGTCTCAAAATGAAACAGCAAACTAGGCAAAATTATAGGTATTTCTCCTTGATGCAAATCTGCCCTCACCTTGCAAACTGGTAGTTCAGTGCCAGTGCAAGTACAATAACATGGCACCTGGATTTTTCTGAAATCTTTGCTTCACTGTATAGGCAGTAACAATATCCACTCTTCAAATGTGGTTCCAGATTTACTAAAGCACCAAAAAGGATGGACAGAGAATCTCTAAAGTCTCAAAATATTCCCCCTTTATGTGCAAATATAATTACTCATCCAGTTCCCAACAGTCCAGGCACATTTTTAAAGAGTGATTAGTAATCATATTTTGAAAGCTACTTCTCTTAAATCTTGGTCTGACCAAGATCGATGAGAGATTTAGCACTTATTTCAATAAAACAAAAAATGATTTTTTATCTAAAAAGGCTAAGCTCTAAGGGCATACATAAGCAAAAGATATATAGATGTTACAGAGGGATTTAGGCTTTTTTGAATTGCTCTCTCATTTAGGCAGGAAGTGCTGGATCTAAAATGAAGGAAGAGGAACTTGCACTGTCTCCTTTGAAAGCACGCTGTAAATCGGTGAAAATGGGAGGATGCAGAAGAGAAATACGTAGTGCTCTACCTTTCAGTGCAATATTGTGTGTGGATTTCTGCAGTAAGTAGCAAAAATTCAGCTCCTTAAAAGAAAAAAAAAGAATAAAAAAAAAGAATAAAAAAGGAAACAAAAATCAGGAGATTCTACTGAATTCAGGTACTGGATACATCTTTTTGTGGTACTGCTTGATCTCGAATTTGAAAGCTGTTTTATTTTCTTCCTTATAAAGACGGAATAAAGAGGGACTAAAAATGAAAACTGACAGGATCTGCCAGCACTAACCATGCACTTTTTTAGTGTTATTGAACTGTATTTTTTCAGGATACCCTGCCTTTTTTTCTATTTTTTTTTCTTATTTACGTTCTCCTGCTTGGAGGGGCAGGCACCTACTCTGATGTAGGTAGTTTTAGATGCACAATTGAGGATAACTGCTGTTTTTTGAGGCTGGCAGGCCTGGGATGCAAAATGAAAAGCTTTGGTGAAAAACAGTCATACTTGCTCTGTGCCACGGCCCAATGCAGGCTCCAAAGTGATGGGGCTCTGCTAGAAATCACTAGCTAGGTCTGGATTTTCATAGTGCTTCAGTGTCAGAAGCCATAATTTATGATGCACAAGATGTGTCGAGCCAGATTTATTTCCTATTTAAATATCTCAGATAGAGAACTAGGTCCCAAATCTGGCTAGTGTCAGATGGCCCAAGGAGCTAAATGTGTCTTATTTTTTCCCCTCCTCTCCTTAGCAGTTTTGCCCCCATATGTCCTAACCTTTGGACTTTTTTTTCAGTGTAGATTTGTTAGTAGCTTTGATGAAAGAAAAGGCTCAGTGCCGCTAAACAGCATTTAACAGGATCCTGGTATATCCTGCTTTTACCTTTCTCCAGGGAGAGAAAGTGTTCCTCATTTCCTCTCTCCCCCTCACAAACCCCATGACCCTTTTGGGTCTCTTCCTCCTGAGAAAAGATCAACCAGTTCAAAAGCGAGGGCCGTGAGCAACCTGTGTCCAGAAAAAAAAAACTTCTGGCTGTAATTACCTTCCCAGCCCTCCCCCCTTTGCTCTTCCAAAGGGCAGCATATCTTACCCAGGACACATTTGAAAATACAAAGTCCTAGAAATGCCAGTAAACACCAAACTTTCACTCTCTTTCACTCAACTTTGATTGCAGCTTTTTTTTTTGTGTGTGTGTGTGTCCAGAAAGAAATCACAGCTCCCACATGAATGAATGTCTCTGTGCACAGAGATACCCCAACCGTGAGCATAATACAAACACAATACAACCCCTCCCTATAAATGGTTTCCACAGTATTGCTTTACCAAACAAGCTGCTAGTACAAATCATACACGTGGATTAAAATAAAAGCCTGGGGAAGGGAAAAGGCGATCCTTCCTGTTCCTCCCCTCTCTTCTCACAGCATCCTCCTCGAGTTCCTGGTCCTCCTGAAAATGGGGTAATTCACACTGCTTCTGCCCCACCAGAGTAGGCAATATATGTGCAAACTTTTACATACGTATAAATCTATATACATACATAAAGAAAATGCATACTGAATAGGTATGTATGAAAATAAAATCAAGCTTCTGCTTTCTGCTCAAGCACGATGGTGTCATATTGTGAAATGGGGTAAGGAAGCACAAATCCTCCTGGTGGAAAACCAGATACACCTTTATTTTTGTTTTCTCTTGCAGGTACTCACTTCAGTACTCACTTTTCCTAAGCCTCAGTTGCAGTGTTGGTTGGCCCGGGTCACTTTTGTGGAGGCTACATTTGTGTATTTGAACAGAGGAAAACTGACAGCCCAGATGAAGCTAAATTCAGGGAATCAGTCATTACTGGATGGCCACTCCTGCCCCAAAGTCACAGATTTGTTTCTCTTGCTCATGTTTGGGGTAAAATGTCCTCAAATAGAGGACATAAAAACCTAGTGAGAACTAACAGGGAGAACCTGCAGACACCTCTCAAGAGACGCTGCTGCTCCTTGCAGCCACGATGCAGAGCTGTTTCTTGCAGACTTGAAAGGGCTCTACAATAACTGCAGACACTTTGGAAACCATCTCCTTTTTGCATAGCATCTCCTGTGGCTTCAGGTCTGGTTCTCAAAGAAAGAGCAAACGCAGAAAGAGATGCAGATGGAAACTTAAGGGTAAGTTAAGCAAGTGGAGAAGGGATTTCTTCTGCTTGCTGCTTTCTGCCTTCCTTTTCACAAGGGTCTTGACTTCATGCTGTCACTGAGCATGAACATTGCACCAGCTGGGTAACACTGAGGTGACCAGAGCTGCTGTTTCTGTCTAACTGAATTCTCTTGCTCATGTTTTTGCACATCGGGATACACAACTCTTTCTACTAACTACTTCATGGTGAAAGCAGGCTCTGAAAAGTGAAAAACAAATCCATATTTGTGTATGCATTCAAGAAACATGGTTAAACAGAATTCTTTTTCTCTGGTAATAGTTTCTTGGCATTTTTTTTCCCCTGTTGATATCAAACATTAACACAAGTGTATGCAATCTCCAGAAAGCTACATTTGGATTTTTGTAATATAGATGAACCTGGAACCAATAAAATTATGTCTCCAATCATATCGAAAATGCTGGCTACAGATCTAACAAATGCAGTGTTAGAGTGTGTACTGTGAGTGTCATCCTGAGCAATCCAATCTTTGTCCTCTTGTATTGAAATCCATGACCTCAGAGGGCTCCTGATGGAGCTTTGAGGGGAGATACTCAATTGGAAGAGGAAGCAGGGGAGCGGAGCCACAGAAGTCAAGGGAAGCATTTCCACAGCCGGTGCAGTCCTGCACCTAACCAACTCCACGTCCACGCACTAGGGCCAAGCCCACTGATGCAGGACACAACAGAGTTCTGAGTAGTTCCTCAGCTCCATGCCCCGGTTTTAGCATCCTCGTTCCTGTGCCAGACTTGGCAACAAGACCAGGTAACTCACCTGAGAGAGCAGTGGACCCCTCTCTTCCTCCTCTCCCTCAAGACACATCCCCTGTGTCTCTAAGGGGCACTGCCCTTAGTCAAAGGGAATAGACAGATGGAGCTACCTGGTGGATGAGTGTGGAGTCAGAAGAGTAGGGTAAGAATGGAAACAACAGAGGTTTTCCAGAGATAAAGTGTGGATAAGCTGCCCACAAAGATGAGGATAGCAGACTTTCACCTTGAGAAAGCATTTGTGAAGTAGAGGATTAGTTCCAAGAAGCGCTCCAGCAGATCAGGCATTTTTTTTTTTGAAGCCAGCATTGCAAAGCCTCAGGTGAAAAGCAGATTTGCACTCTGATCTT